CCCCCCCCCCAGCTTTTGATTGAGACACAAGCAGGTCTCTAGCTCCGTATCCCTAAGTACTGTGGGAGATTTCATATCTGCCCTGTGAAGTTTTGAGTTTCACTCTTTATTCTTCCACATCATACAGCTCTTAAATTTGGTAATTTTTTTTTTTTTTTAAGGAGGAGACTGTCATGTATTTTTTTTAAAGTTTATTTATTTTGAAAAAAAGTAGAAAACAAAATAAATGGGACACCTGGGTGGCTCAGTCAGTTGAGTGTCCGACTCTTGTCAGCTCTGGTCATGATCTCATGGTTTGGGGATCAAGCCCAGTGTCTGGCTGTGTGTTGACAGGGTGGAGCCTGCTTCGGACTCTCTCTCCCTCCCTCTCTCTCTCTCTCTGCCCCTCCCCTGCTCGTGCTCTCTCTCTCTCAAAAAAATAATAAATAAAGTTTATTTATTTCAAGAGAGACAAACAATGCGAGTTGGGGAGAGGCAGAGAGGGAGAGGCAGAGAGTGAGAGAAGCCCAGGCAGTCTCCACAATGCCAGGGCAGCACCCGAAGAGGCAGGGCTCAAACCCGCAAAACTGAGATCGTGACCTGAGCTTACCTGACTGAGCCACCCGGGTGCCCTGAGACTGTTGGTATCTGTGGCAGGCTCCTCTTGCTGGTGGCGCTTCACGTCGAAGTACTGCCAGACTTCAGGGGATTTCATTCTGCTCTCCAAGCCCTACCTCATCTCCCAGCCCTCCGTACGACCCAGCATTCAACAGATGTCCTGTGGAGAAAACTGGCTGCATGTTTGGGGCTCCTCCAAGTTTCATTCGTTTATGCCAACCCATGCAACCATCAGGAAATCCACTCTTTTCTCTTTTCCCTGGTAGAGCTTCAGATAGATAGAGTTTCTATGCCTATGCCAAGCCCAAGCCCCATCTTATGGTCCAAATGAGCAAACACCCTTATAGAAGACAAGGCAGTTCAGCTCCCTTGGGAGGGCATTTCTCTCTCTGGAGTTTTATTTCAATGCTGGTTTTAATTGTCATTGCTTCTATAGATCTCTGGTATCTGTGAAAAATATTTTTTGATATGTATCCTTTTCCCCCCACAGTTGCTGTAGCAGAAGTGATAGCTTCTAAATGGGCTACTGCATCTGCTTTGAAGCTAAAGTTTTTCCCTAGACATTGAATATTCTTCTATGATTGAAATGGCTATATAGCTTTCAAACGTTTGGAATATATTCCATATTATACCTTATAATATTGTTGGAAATTTAGAGTACTTTTTTATTTTATAACAAATATCCTTGTATCTGAATTTCTGATTACATATTTGATGCTTTTCCTTAGTATAAATTTATAGATGTGCAATTGTGTGAACAGATATGCATTTTTTTTAATTTTATGATTGTGATATATATTGGGAAATTTCTGCCAAGAAATACTGTAGTAATTTACTTTCACAGTGTGTGAGAATTCTTAATTCCTGTGGGTGGTATATTAATAACATATGACAAGATTTTATGTCTTTTGTAATAACATGTACATGTTATCTTAATCTCCAGGAGAATTCAGAAAATGTTGACTCTCCTAAATACTGAACTCATTGTTATGGAATGCTATGAATCCTAGAAAAATATACATTATTAATTTTATTGGCATGTATATTTTGGTTAAAAACATAAAAATATATATTGTTCATGGCAACAGAAAAACAGATGTAAGCCAGACTTTTCATTTTGGTTGGTTTTGGCACATAGGAAGCCTTTAGTCAATTTTTACTGATTAATTTGGACATGTCTTGCCTTTTACATTTTTCCTTTAATATCTTTAAGAGAAATTCCATGCTCTTTGGTTTCAAGGGAAGTGAAAGGATTTGTCTGTTGAAAATATTGCATGTCTTGATATGAATCAAGAGAAAAGAAAGTATACTTGTTTCTTCTCCTATACTCTTTTTATTGGGACCTTCTATTACCTCCAACAAAACACAGAAACCTTTGAGACTTACATGAGTCTAAGACTTAAAAATCATGTCTTTTCTTTATATGACTAGCTTTGAACATCAGCACTCTGGGTGCATGCTTTTTCATTTTAGGATTGGGAAACACCTATACTTCTGGAGAGATACAAATGTTTATTTTTTTTTAACCACTTATCAATAAAATTTGTTTTATTTTTTAAAAAGCTATGTTTATACTACAGAATTGTGTCTTCTGCCAAAACAGATTATATGTTGATGAATTAGTTAGTTAGTTAGTTAGTTGTTAAACTCAAGTTAGTTAACATACAGTGTAGTGTTGGTTTCAGGAGAAGACCGCAGGGATTCATCTCTTACGTATGACACCCAGTGCTCCTCAGTGCTCATCCCAACAAGTGCCCTTCTTAATAACCCGTCACCCATTTAGCCCATCCCTCTACCCATCTCCCCTCCAGCAACCCTTAGTTTCTTCTCTGTATTTAAGAGTCTCTTATGGTTTGTCTCCCTCTCTGTTTTTATCTTATTTTTCCTTCCCTTCCCTTATGTTCATCTGTTTTGTTTCTTAAATTCCACAGTGAGTGGAATCATATTTGTCTTTCTCTGACTTATTTCACTTAACATAATGCACTCCAGTTCCATCCACATTTTTGCAAATGGCAAGATTTCATTCTTTTTCATTGTCAAGTAATACTGAGTTGTGTGTGTGTGTGTGTGTGTGTGTATGTATCACACCCATTGTGTGGTATACACACACACACACACACACACTTTTCATCAGGTGATGGACATTTGGGCTATTTCCATAATTTGGCTATTGTTGATAGCACAGCTATAAACATTGGAGTGAATATGCCCCTTTGAATCAGCATTTTTGTATCTTTTGGACAAATACCTAGTAGTGGAATTGCTGGGTTGTAGGGTAGTTCTATTTTTAATTTTTTGAGGAAGCTCCATGTCATTTTCTAGAGTGTCTGCACCAGTTTGCATTCCCACCAGCAGACAAAAGGGTCCCCCTACTCCGCATCCTTGCCAACATCTGTTGTTTCCTGAGTTGTTAATTTTAGCTATTCTGACAAGTGTTGAGGTGGTATCTCATTGTGATTTTGAATTGTATTTCTCTGATAATACAATACAGTGAGAATTGTATTTCTCCGATAATACAGTGATGTTGAGTATCTTTTCATGTGTCTGTTAGCCATTTGGATGTCTTCTTTGAAAATGTGTCTATTCATGTTTTCTGCCCATTTCTTCAATGGATTATTTGTTTTTTGGGTACTGAGTTTGATAACTTCTTTTTAGATTTTAGGTACTAACCCTTTATCTGATATATCATATTCAAATATCTTCTCCCATTCCTTCAGTTGACTTTTAGTTTTGTGATTGTTTACTTTGCTGTGCAGAAGCTTTTTATCTTGATGAGGGGCAGTAGTTCATTTTTGCTTTTGTTTCCCTTGTCTCCAGAGATATGTCAAGTACGAAGTTGCTGTGGGTGAGGTCAAAGGGGTTGCTGCCTGTTTTCTCCTGTAGGAGTTTGATGGTTTCCTATCTCTCTATCTTTCATCCATTTGATGGTTCTCTATCTTTCATCCATTTTGAATTTCTTTTGATGGATGGTGTTTTTTGATCACCAACAGTGATACAGTTGGATATTCCACTTCTATCACTCCTTGAGCCAGCTAGTTAAGATTAATACTTACTTGATTTTTGTTCAGAGATACTTGTTCTACTTAAAAAGTAAGACCCTTTAAAAGGGCACATGATCCTCAATATCCAGAAAAATGTACTTTCTCTTTCCTTTCGAAGTTTAACTTATGATTTTAAGTTATGGGAAATTTCAAGCATGTGTAAAAGCCAAGAATATGCTATAATGCACACTATTGTGCCCACCACCACTTTTGCTATTCCTATCTTTTTGTTAAAAGATAGTTAATGATTTAAATGGGAATGCCTTTATCTTAGAATTGTAATGTATTTTTTCTACATAGCTTTTTTTTTTTTTAATATCACCCAATGGTCATTTATTCAGTATGTAGTCCTCAAATTTCCTCAATTTGATTAAAAGTAAAGATTTCATTTTTCAGATTTGTCTAAAGCAGTTTCTGATGGTCACTAGGGTGTTTGTTTTCATTTTCTTTTTCTTCATGCGCCCAAGTGTAATAATGTTGAATATTGTTGCCTGTTAAATGATGTACGTGAGGAAACCCTTGGACCAAATCTAAGAAGCGTTACCTTGAAAATACAGTGGATGTGCAAACACTGAAGTCTTTTCAGATGTTGAAATGTTTTTCCAAGGGTGATATTTAGTGTCATGCATATTCAGAAAAGGGTTCTTATTCTCTTGAGCCAAAATTAGTATGCACAGGCACAATCTCTGTTTTTCTTAATTTCTTAGTGCAATTGACGTTCTTTATTTCGTTTCTGTATCACTCATGTGAAACTGATTGTTTCAGTGTGTTCCCTAGATGATCCCCTCATTGCTTTGTGTATTTTGAACGCTTTTTAAAAACTACTTTAAAAAAATAGGTACGGGTTCTTATGTTTTAATTACCACTGCTTACAGATGTGTACACACACACACACACACACACACACTCTATCACATTTCTGGTAGATTGTTGAAAAGAGGATCTTTTAAAAGACAGAGGCTACTATGATAAGGGTGAGCTAAGTAGGGGAATGCAGTGGAGCTAAGGGTTAGGAAAGGCAGATACTTATGCATGAAATCCTAACAGCACACTAGATTCTGGGGTGAAGGCCAGTGGAATATTTTTGCTTGCTCAGGCATTGAAGTTATGCAAACAGAAGCTATTGCACACCCAGAGATTCTTGATTGAGAAAGTAAACTTGTACATTTGTTTTTTTTTTTTTTTTTT